CCCCCCCCCCCCGGCCCCTGCCATTTGCATTGCCCAAGTTCAGCAGCCTCTGTTCCCACGACGGGAAGGACCATATTGTATTTGGGTTTGTAGTTAGATGGGGAAGACTGAGATGTGGTCAGAGAGAAAGGTACCAAACCCAAGTCATCATCAATGTTGCTGAATCCACAGGGATTCAAAACCCTTGCCCCTGAACGAGCGAATCTACCGGTTTTGCTTTCTCTCCTTCTGAATTTTTTAAGTCTCGGGCTTTAAAAAAAATCTAAAAAGACATGCAACCAAAGGGGGAAACTTGGATTTGGAGGAAGGAAGTAGAAGCGAGTCATCTTCCAGCAGGAGTGGAGGGGTTGCTGTGTTCTCCCTCCTCAACTTCCCTCTGCTGGCGCCTGCTGGGATGGCCGGGTTGCAGGGGGGGGGTCGATGCCAGCTGCATTCTGGAGGAAGACGGGGCCGCTTTGAAGGCAAAAAGGTCTGCCTCCTACTGCAGCGACACCCTTTTAAAGGAAGTGTTCCCGCTTTTGTGGGGGGGGGGGAAATGCCTCTTCTGAGACGGCATGGCCCCTTGGGGTTTATGTAAACACACACCAAGAGGGACTGAAAGATTAAAAATCAGATGCAGAATTAGCCAGAGGCACTCTTTAAAGACAAAGGCGATCCGGTGAAAATAAAATTTAACTGAACTGATTTGCGAGACATTTCAGTGTTAACGCCAAGCACACTCCTGCTTGTTCTACAAAATTGCCTTAACAAAATCATAGCTTCAAATGTTGCTTCCTGGAAATGAGTGGGGAAATGCGCATGTAGAACCTTTTCTGTACCAATGCATGCTAAATGTCCTTTTGCAGAGTAAGAAGAAAAAGAAGACCGACTTTATTCCATACAGAGATTCTGTGCTGACTTGGCTGCTTCGAGAAAACCTAGGTATGCATGCAGAGAGCGAGCGAGTGAGCAAGCAAGCAAGCGAGAACTCTTTCCACTTATTTTTAAAGTATCCATCTTATGATCAGTTTATTTCTCGCAGTCAATAGTGGCGGCTTGTATGGCTGCTTCTGATTAAACAGAATCTAGTTCGTAGGAATGGCAGCTCTCAACATTTGCTCACCTTTTGATGCGGTTCGGGATTCCTTACAGAGCCACAGTCTTTGAGACTTTACTAAACCATATTAAAATCTAGAACACCTTGAAATTAACTTTTTAAAAAAATTAAAAGCAAGGTTCTAGTCCTCATTGCTTGGGGAATGGAGGATTGTGTAATGTCCAGAGTTTTTTTTTGAATCCATGGTTTGGGTGGTAGTTTCTTTGACTAGTAAGAGTTTCTTGCTCCCTCAATTTTGGCAAGTATCATTGTATCAAACATCTCCCACTGGCGATATTAAGTGAAACTGAGTTCTAAAGGAACTTCTTTTCTAGATTGCTGTTTATCCATTAGATGAGAAAATTTTGTATATTTCAAGGGCATAAAAGCATTTACTGTATTTCTTTTACAAGTTAGACCTGCTGCTTTGTTGAACTTCCCACATTTTAGTTGCAGAACTTAGAGATGTAACGCCTCATTTCTAGCGGTTGAGGTTGACAAGTCCAGTTTCATCCAGTTGATTGTTCTCATTTGCAGGGGGCAACTCCCGAACCGCCATGGTGGCTGCTCTGAGTCCAGCAGACATAAACTACGATGAAACGTTAAGCACTTTAAGGTACCGAGCATGATGTGTGATTTTTCTGCATCAGTTCCCCCCCTCCCCACTTACAGGACGTACCTTGTTTTAGAAGAGAGAACCTGTGCTAGGCTGGGTTTTGTGCCTAGCCAGGTTGGAAGACCTCTCTCTTCGACCTGGCCTCTTGAACGGCTTCTGTTACTCTCGTTGTTTTAATGATCTCTCCTGTTAAAACCATCCCTATTTTGTTAGCTGTCCCAAGAGCCACTTTTTAGTGAAAAAGTGCAACTAGAGTGTAATAACATACAATAATGACTAAAATAAAATGCTGGTCTGGTATTCAAGGCAAGCCCCTAAGTACATCCTTTGTATGTGGTCCGGCTGGTGAATTTGGGGTTTCTAGGAAAAAGAGTGCAGGCCCCACAACCCTTCATTGTGCCCTCCCTGCTTCCGAGGTGGTTTTATTCCCGCTCAGCTGTGATTTTTAAAAAAATTGTTTTCTACGAAGAGGGCCCCTCCCCCCCGGTACCATTTTCTCTCTTCAGATATGCCGATCGGGCTAAGCAGATCAAATGCAATGCCGTGATCAATGAAGACCCCAACGCCAAGCTGGTGCGGGAGCTGAAGGAGGAAGTGACGCGGCTCAAGGACCTCCTCCGGGCTCAAGGGCTCGGCGACATTATCGACAGTAAGTGGATTTAAACAGATTCACGCCTTAGCCTCGCTGGAGGAGATAAAATGTCTTCCTCTGCTTCAGAGCCTAACAGAAATCTAGGCACTTCGGTGGGTTTGAAGGTGTGAGTGGGAGCGAGGAAGGATGAGAGGCTAACATTATTTAACCAAGACTTGGAAATGGTACCTTTTTTTTTTTTGGAGTGCGGCTCCAAGAATCCAACCAAGACTTGGAAATGGTACCTTTTTTTGAGTGCGCCTCCAAGAATCTCCCCAGAAGACGTCTTAAAACCCCAAAACATGATCTTTCCCAAGCTGGCGATGTAACCAACGCCCATGCATGGTGTCTTCCCACATTCTCTGTTGGGTCAACAGATGTTGCTTTGCATCCAGAATTCTGTATTTGCCCTGCTAGGAGTAAAGCCGTTTGCTTACGAGTTACTTAATGTCTTCCCTGTTCTTCTGCTGGAAGGGATGTTGGATTGCAACTCTTCCCCTTCTAGCTCAGCGGTTCTCCATCTGGGGCCCCCAGAGATTTGTGGACTAAAATTCCCAGAAGCCTTCACCACGAGCTGTGCTAGTCAGGACTTCTGGGAATTGTAGTCCATGAATATCTGGGGACCCACAGTTGGGAACCACTGATTTAGCCAGTATGGCACTAACCATGCGGACCGCAGGGGTTCTGATTGGTATTTTGGGTTTCTTCGGCCCTTCATTTTTAATACTCTAAAGGAAGTAACTTTCGGAGGCTCTCATTGGGTCCCTCTATAGACCTGTTTTCCTTTCTGATCAAAGGGACTCTGTTGGGTGGGAGTCCGTTCTGAAGAAACAACATCTTTCTCCCTCTTGGTTGCCTCTTCGAGGCGCAGGCTTTCAGCATGAATGCCGACCTTTGGCTTTTGGATTGTGGGTGTGCATTTGTCTGCCAGAGGGCATTCCTGCTTAATCACGGCTCAAAAGGACATAATTTGTATGCGGAGTTTGTCTGTGCCCTAAAAATAATGGCTGAAAGAGAGACTTTTGAAATGTGAAGCCAACCAGCCTTTTGCCGGGAGGTCCCAGCAGGAAAAACGGTGGGGCTGTCATGACAAAGTTTGTATGTGCGATTGAACATCTGAGATATATTGTTGTAAAACCCGATGCCAGGCGTTTCTTCCCATCCTCTGTCAACTATTGATCCTGAATATTTTTACCCTTCTTATATCTTCCCTCCTCACTTCCTCCTTCAGTTGATCCTCTGGGAGATTTCTCTGGAAGTGGAGGCAAATGTGTGTATTGTGGATTTAGTAGTCTTCCCCCTCTCTCCTCCCCCCCCGCTAGTGTCTTGCGT